ACCATTATCTGATGATATAAATTCTGAAGTACATATTGATAATATTGAAATTATTAATAATGTACAACAATCAGTTGAAAAAGGTGAACAAAGAAATATTACCAATATTTTAAAATATTTAATACCAATTCTTATTGAAAAAAAAATATTGGATACAAAAAATCTTGAAATACATTTACGTATTTCAGGTGATGACAGAAATGTAGGACGAAAAATTAATCATGTTATAGTTACTTTTTCTCTTCTTAATAATATTGAACATATATTTCATCCAGAAAATCACTACACAATACTTTTATACCCGGGTATTGAAAAATATGAAATATTATATAATACATTAGAACAAATAACCTTGGAACTGAGAATGCTAAAAGACAAAGGTTTAAAAGATAATCAAGGTAGAGAATAGAGAATTGAACTTTATTTTTCATCGGACTGGAAGTTTCTTGCAATGTGTTTAGGAATAAATTCAGCAAATAGTAAACATTTTTGTCCCTGGTGTGAAATATCAAAAGAACAACAAGGTGATTTTTCATATGAATGAAAAATTAGCAAATCTATGGAATAAATTAAACAAGATTATATATCTTATCGAGGACATATTTGACTAGTAATATTTGATATGATTCCATTACACAATTGAATTCCTGATAAGCTTCATATTATGTTACGTATTACAGATGTTCTTTGGCGATTAGTAATTGATGAACTTAAATCAAGAAATACATGGGATGATCAAGCTAGAAATATAATAATTGATGAAATAAAACGTATTAATGTTAGATTTCTTTTTTGACAAGAAATAGGAACAACAAATTAGCAACATACATCTTTAATGGGACAAGACAAATTAATTGTACTTCAAAATTTTAATTTGTTTAAACTATTTCCAAATTTAAGAGCAACTCAAATTAAAAATTTATGGAATAATTTTTATTTGCTTTACAAAGCAATAAAAAATCTTAAAACTGATGCATCACAATTTACCAAGGATGCATGTACATGGCTACATCAATTTTTGAATCTTAATTATCCTAACTCTATTTCCAGTAATCATTTTTATCAAGCTGGTGATATAACACCATATATGCATATATTAGTTTATCATATTTCAAAAATGATAAGTATTCATTATCATTTTAGTTTAATAGCATTTTCTTGTTCAGCTGTAGAAAAAAAAAATCATCAACAAGTTTCTCATTTTTTTAAAAAGACAACAAAAGATGGTGGTGTGGGAAAAGAAAAAAAATTTAAAATTTTGGATATTCTTGAATATGAAAATAGACAATTATACTTTAGTAATAATAATGAATTAGATTTAGTACATGCATCAAAACGTTTATGCATTGAACAATTTTAAATACAATATAATGTAATAAAATAAGAATGTGTTTTATAATAATAAAATAATTGTAATTAATTGATGATCGCGAAACCATGATCACGAAACCATAATCGCAAAACTATAATTGCAAAACCATGATCGTGAAACTATTATGTAATTATAATATAAATATAATATAATGTAATAAAATAAGTATGTGTTGTTTTATAATAATAAAATAACTGTTATTATAATATAAATTACAATTATTAGTAATTAATTGATGATCACAAAACCATGATCACAAAACCATGATCATGAAACCATGATCGTGAAACTATTATGAATTATAATATAAATACAATATAATGTAATAAAATAGT